ACACAAGCTTACATGCAATAAGACAATTTTATGAAGCAGATGTGTTTGTTACCATAGGGGCATCAAAACATCCAAGATGCTACTCTGTCAGTCTGGCAGTGGGCTTGCTTGGCACTGACATGTCAATAGCAAGTATTGGAGCTTTTTCTCACTTCCCATCACCATCTTTCTCAGTAGCTTGCATTAAGATACAAAAAAAAATGATGAGAATGATTAAAGTAACTGAGAAAGGATTGCGATAAAGTGGTGGTTATGGACTTTTCCACCATTATTGTTATGAATGACTACGAGTCTGGGGTTACCTGTTCTGTGGATAGGCACTAAATAAATAACATTTACTATTCTCTGTAGGCTTCAGAGAAAACAGATATCTGGGTGTATCATCCAAATAAAGTGTTATGAACTTGGGATTTGGGATTCTCTTTCAGCAGTGATAATGTGTTAACTTCTGTGTAACATGAAAACTTATGTGAAGAAAGCATTTTTTTCTGATTTATGAAGAAAGCATTTTTTTCTGATTTAATATCCCCATATAGATGCTGGGTTTTGTTTTTTTGTTTTTGCTGTTGTTGTATGTTTGTTTGTTTTTGTAGAACATCTCCCAGAGTAAAGCAGTGTATTACCAGTTCCTTATGCACCAAATTGATTTCAAGGGCATTGACTTAAGGCAGTCCTAAATGACAAAACTCTGCAATAGTAGACAGAAAAAGGTATTTTTAAGCCATTGTCACAGCTGCAGCATAAGATTAGAGGAAATCTTTATGTTAGAGTCTGTCTGCATCCATTACTATTTTCTGTCAGCTTCACTGAAAATTTCTTCTCCACCATTTCAGTCAATATGAATCATGAGGAGAAAAAGATGTGTTTATAACTCAGGGATATTTACTTGAATCTATGAACTTGTTTGTTTTTGTGAATGAATTTTCTTTTCTTCCTTGAGGTTGTGAACTGAGCAAACAGTCACGAATCTTGTTTCATCCCATCTAACTCAGTACTAACTATGGTTGAGAAAGAAAAATATGAAACACTGTAGTTACTCATTAGAATTAAATGTCTAGATTAAATATCATTGGCCTTAACTTTCTGAGTGGCCATGTAACATAAGCTCAGAGAAGAGGAGACATGGAAGGTGCTAAAGAAGAAGCAGGAACTTAATTACCTATTCCAACTAGACCATGCAAAGGATCATAAGCTAATACGCATGGTTTGAGGAGTAAATTCTTTCCCTTCTAAACACTCCATAATTTGCCATATCAAAGTCTAAGTGCTTGATTAGCACAAATTTTACTCACAGTAACGAATTCAAGAAGCTGTAGTTAGCATTCAAAAATCATCATGTACAAGCAATAGGAAAGGAAAAGTGCTGAGTGTTCTGTACCCTGATTTCTTTTCTCAGCCCTTGTATTTATATCCCACACACTCAAAAGATTTCTCTGCAATATACGGACACAAATATTTGTTGGTCAACAGATGACCCCTGCTGGTGTGCAAAGCAAAGCAAAACAAAATGTATTCCAATTGACCGATAAATTCCATTCAAACATTCTATTTATTATGTTTTTCAACTTCCTTTGAGCATATTTTCCTGTAGTTTGTGCTTCACTTTGATTAATCACATGACTCCATCAACCCTTTGACTCTTCATCTCTTCTCAGCAGAGGATTAAATGCTATCTTCTTTCTCACACTTCTCTCTCTAATCAATCACGCATTATTCATTTATCAATAGTATCCTCTCCTCTCTGCTCCATTTGTCCAAAAGTTTTCCTCTGATTGCTGTCAAATGACATGCTGGTGATCTTGTCTGTTTGTCTGGAATGGCTAGTTACAGCAACAGCTTCTGGTTTCAGTGTTCCTGCAAAATATCTTGTTATGCTATTTCTTCTCTAAATTTTGTTTAAGAACCTAACATATGAGAAAAGCATTATAGAGGGCACAACCTCTCTGGAATAAAACTCTCTCTATCACTAAATCACTAAATTGATTTATGAAAGTGATAGCAACAAATTAAGTAAACAAATAAATAATGTTATATCCTCACTTCTGTCAGGATTTTAGCACTTGTTATTCTATGAATTTTCTGTACACGGAAATGCCCTCACGTATACATGAACACAGAAGAAATGGAAATACTTTACATTTCCAGTTTGTGTATACTTTTTTATGCATTATTGCATACGTAAATAAGACCTTATGGAACTTACCTCAGGAAATAGATTGTATCTAATTTGTTGACATTAGGTGCTGACAATTGCAGCTTTGGAGAAGTCTGCAGACAAGACTTGGCTCTTGAGAGCCAAGAGCCTGTATAAGGAAGAATCTGTGAACAGAACTTTAGACTCATGCAGAGAGGGATGTATGTATTTTCAAATAGATGAAATTCATAACTCATTACTGTAATAGTGCTATGATAATTTTATCTGGACAGAGCAGCAGTGAAGGATTTAAAACCGAAAACCTATGCACATTCATTGTCATCGTCCTCCTCGTCCTTCTTTTTGAATTAAGTAACTTAACTGAAATAGTAACTAGCAGCAAGGTAACGCAGAGATACAATATCTATTATTTTCCTACACTGCTAAAATATTATGCTCCAGTTATGGGTTGTCCCCCTTGCTCAATATCTAGTCTTCCTGTTTTAGCACTTTTATATTCATCTTTCAATGTTTAGAAAAGGATATTAAGAAACAAAAAAGTAGAAAATTTGTCTTGCAGTTAAGGTGCTCTATAGGAATGCAGACACTTCAGCCTGAATCTCACTAGCGCTATAAATTTTCTCTGTGACCTTGAACAAATCACTTCATCTGTCTGTACCTCTGTTCCTCATTTATTTTCAAAAGGATGATAATACTTCTTCTGCCTCTGTATTTACATTACAATTTCCTTTCTCTCTCTGTTTTATATACTTCTTGTTGTAATATGGAACTTATCTAGGATTTCTTATTATATAGTTACTTTTATCTACATAAAAAGCAATATATTCTCTGTTAGGTTTTCCTGAGCTCTGACCTGGCTCTATAGCTGTATAAGCAATTGCTGTTATTATTAGTACACCAGAAGTTTGTTAGAGGCTCAGTCAGACTCAGAGCTACAATGCTGCATGGTTCATTTAGCAAGAGAAGATGAGCTGGACTTACAAAAGCTCTCTCTACAACAGCAAATTAAATACGGGGCTATGCTGTGCCCCTGAAGACAACCAGCACGAAATAGCCTACATCTATAGCATTAAACTTTTTTAGCACCAAGGCAGACTACATGTGTGCTGCCTACTGGGAATGGGCCCTGTCTTGTACTAGCTCTCAGGCTGTATCCAAGAATCCTGTTAGAGCTTTCTGAGTCAAAATTATAATTACGATCACTCTCAAAATTGATCACTCTTAAAATGTCACGGCATGGACAGGATGAAGGAACGTATGTGAACTCTGTTCAGGGCTAGCCAGTCATACCTTGCACTCTCACTATCCGTCCTGCTTCTATATAGAATTATATGCATTTATCCCTGCATTGCTTCATGCAAGTCCAAAGCTGCATATAGAGATGTAAACCTCTACTGCTAGTAAGACATAAGAAACTTGACATTAAAAATTGTTCAAAGCTAGTCTAGTCAGCTAAGAAACTCAGGAAATAAGTAGCTTCATTGGCAACTGCTCCATACTACATTAAACATTTCCTGGTCTAGGGAGTGAGAACATGAATGAGTAGCTCAGGAGATTCCAGCTGATATTTCTGTTCTTTATAACAAGAGGATCAGTTTGACGATTAAAGCATTCATTTGGCAGGCAGAATATATGTCTTTAAATCCCTTGAACCAGTGAGAGGATTTGAGTGTAAGTAAGTCTCCTGTACATTTATGAGAAAGCCTAAGAGCAGGAGAAAGTGAAGAGCAAAGAATGAAGAGCATGCTGTTTTTGCCTGTGCCCTGAGAGAAAGGACTGGTCTTTCTCCTCAGTTCTGAAGTTAGTCATCCAGCTCTAAGAGTGATTCATGATTGCTTTTCCTCAGCAGTCCCGCAATCTTAGAAAACAGCCTAACTCCTAGAGAAGAGACAGGATGAAGATGGATGGTTTTACTTAGCATGTCCTTCTGCTTTGTCTAGGATCCTCCCTTTCTATAAAGTGGTTATTCTAATTCAATATTTTTGGTAGGAGGCCTCTTGAGCAAGACAATTTATGAACTTTAGATAAGCACTGAAGCACATCAGAAGAGTCCTTGCTTCATAGTACTGAAGACTGGGAGTGTGTGGGGCCATATTCAGTTCAAGGATGCCAGTCTGTGCTGGATCATTTCCTGAGGTGATATCCCATGGCTGATGTCAGGCATACAAGGTGCCTATGAGATTATCCACAGAATGGCCTGACCTGGTACACAGCAGGATATGAGAGGATGTGTTGCACACCTACCATTGAGCTACTGTTGAAAAATTGTGGTTGTGCCCACCCAAGGTGCATGCTTCTAAAGTCTGACATTGTGAGTTTGCTGGCACAGATCATGAAATACATTGTTTTAGATTTCTGTTCTCCTTACATTATAATAACAATACAGACACAGTAAAGATACCCCCCATACACTGTGTTCATGTATGCATACCTGATGCCTCACTTGGGAGCAGAGCAATTACATTTCTGTTGAAATCTAGCTCTTTCTGACTGTGAAGGTCTTCAAATCTGGACATATTTACCTGCCAAGCCATCCAACTACAGTACAAATCTCCACACAGTCAGGTCCTGTTCTGCGATGATTAGACGACCCTAGTAATGGTGGATGTAACTGAACTGTCACTTCCAAAATTAGCATCCTATTCCAGATACATTGTAGTGTTGCTATGTGGAACTCTACAGACAAAAACAACGACAGACAAAAAATGTAACTATTTGTTTTGTGATTTGAAAAGATCTTTGCAAGTGTGACTTAATAACAGCCTGATTGAAAACTTGTTAACAAACATTAACCTATATATTGCTTACTAAGAAGTGCTTTATGTGTTCTTGTCTCTGCAGACTGAAGAAGTCCTGAAGATTGATGGAGGGCCATGCTATTCAAACAGCAGGTGTTGCTGAGACAGAAGCTCCTTGTGTTAGGCAGCCTTGCTATTGGAAGTCTCCTGTATCTAGTTGCCAGAGTTGGGAGCTTGGATAGGTAAATCATTAAGTAGCTCTTCTGCTAATTGTAGTGAGTTCAGAGTGCTTGAGGTTTTTTTTTTAAAGGGTAATTGCACAGAGTCCCAATTTTCTTATTTTATTTTATTTTTCTTTCTACTCACGTGTAGAAAAACTGTCCACTTTAGTACTGATTTTCATTGTTCTTTCTTCCCTTTTGCAGAAGAAAGTAGCATAATGGAGTTGCAGGTCATCTCTGTCAAAGTATTTCTGTCTGCCCATTTGTATTCCAAATGCATTTGCACTTATTTTCAGAGAAGAAATAAAACAGCATCCAGTAAAAATGTCATTACAGTAGCTCATCTTTGACTGTGTGCATCTGTGTGTTGACCTCTAGTTTCAGCAAAACAGTTATGATGTATTTATGTATCATTTTTTCTAAATTTATGATCAAGCAATTAATGTGCTACAGTGGTAGTTAAAATTAAGTATGAGCCTGCGGAGTAGCTCGTGAAGTTTTTAATACTATTTCGCTTGAAAGATTGCTGGAGGGTTTGAGAATTTTAACAGTGTTAATTAGACAGAATTTTCTGGAGTTGAATGTGCCAGATAGATAAGTAGGTTGTCTCTGCAAGTGATTTCCTGGAGAGAAGTGGAAAATCCAAGGGATGAAATCAAGTAGTATTTAGCACTTTGGACAAGGTTAATTTCCAGATGGTTGTTGACAGCATAATAGCACTACTACCTACAAAAACAATGCTCTTTCTGGGACTTTCAAAATGACCTGGAATTGCTCTCATGGCTGATACACAAAGACGTGTTAAAAAAAAAAAAACCCAAACGAACAAACAAAGTTGTTTTTGTAGAAGCAAGTGAAGGATTTCCAGAAACTGGTAGACAGCTGATTAGTACCAATGGCCTATTAGCTCTTTTAATTGATGGAAAACATTACTCAAGCCCAAAACTGTGGCACAACACTGGTTGAGTAGGCAATTCATGGAAAGTTAACTAAGAACAGAATTGCTTAGTACCCATTGTTTGGTAATATCAATCTGAGGTTCCTGCATATCTTCTTCAAATGTTCAGTCCTGCTCCAAAAGAAGAGGGAGCCAGTGTGCTCAGCTAAGCATAAACATTTTAGAAATTAAGCTCAGAATTTATATCTTCCTTCCCCTGGTGGTCAAAGCATCGCTGACGCTTCAAAGGTGAAAACTTCACTGAGACTAATGTGATTCTGTAAATGGGGACAGAATTCCTTATTGGTCCCTGCAGAAATGCATCTCATGCTCTGAGGCATGAAATCTAATTAACCTTATACTATTATCTATGCTTGCATATCTACATAATTTATTGAGGGCCATAAAATTATCTAGCCACAGTATTTGACTCACTGACCTCCTGCGGCAGTGAATTCCACAGGTTTCATATATAATCTTGCCAATGGTGGTAAAATTCAGTTTTATCCTTTTGCATTATGCAGCATGAAAAATACCACACTGTTAAAAATTCCTTGATTTGGACTTGCTATGAAAGAGCGAGGAAAGCACAGATGGATTAACTAGAAAGGTACTTCTGTCCCTGTACTAGGGCACAATCCAAGCTTGTTGAATTTGTCAACAAAAGGACACTGCAAGTGGCTACAGCATGCTTTGGAATAAATGATTGTTCAGGAAGAAATCCAGATGCCTTTATGCTTTATTTATGCTGATCCAATTTGAACAAGAAAGCTGGCAATGGCCCACATTAAATGATCTCAGATTAGGCTCTTCACCTAGAGAGTTTATTATTATTATTATCATTATTATTATTAATGATACTAAAATTATAATTATATTATTATTAATAATGCTATTATTAATAATCATATATTTTTAGGACAGAGGGAAATGACCAATAGTTTTCCTGTTACACTGAGTCATAAGACACGATAAGTAGAGCTTTCTTACAGCGGAGTCTCTGGTCCTTTGGATCCTGAGTGAATGAAGTATAGGAGCTCAAAAAAATTATGTTCTTAGGAATTCTGAGGAAATTGGAATCAGTCTTCAGGTTGCCTATTTCTTTCTATTGGCAGTACAGGGAGCCTCTGTGCCTAATGCTCTGAACTACTTTGCTGGAACTCGTCTAATAATCTTTTTCCTCTGTGATGTTTACATTGGAATCATATTAGCAAGTACTCTGGATTAGGAGAGAGTGCCAGTAGTACTGCTACTTGTCTTAAGACTGCTCAGCTGTTCCTGTTACAAAATTCTATTTTAAATGTTTTGAAATTTGCCAGCAGTAGAGATCTTTGAGATGAGTTGTTCTACCTTACTTTTTTCCAATAAGATTTGTAATAGCTTGAGAAACTGCTTGTTTCAGAAGAGTAACTTCACAGTGATGCAATGAAAGTCTTATATTCTCTTTGCAAAGGATTCTGTTATTTTAATGAAAAAAAGGCTCAGATACAAAAAAAGTTAACATACTGCAGTATAACAACTAATAATTACATCTGGGACTCATCTATGAAGAGCTAGCATCCAGCTTAGTCCCACAGCTGCCAAGGTATTCTTAAAAGATTTTTTTTATATTGCATAGTGAGAGAAAAAGAAAGAGATACAAAACCAGTATACAAAGTGAGGAGGAAGGGCTTTTAGCAACATCAATCTTTCCCTTAGGCTAGAGGGTATCTTGAGTATTTATTTACTTTTAAATTAAACCACCCTGTTTGACAAGCTGTTGTGTTACATTGAAGGCACTAACTGTCTTTTTGAGCAAAAGAGATAAAATTAGTAGAGATAGGTCTGGAACTGCCATGGTGAAATCGTTTTTGTTTGAAAACAAATAACAAATACACAGAAGGAGAGAAGAGCAGAAATAGAAAATGCAGCTTCTGCTTCTTACGTTTTTATTTGTCACCATACTTCTAAAGAGAGGCTGCCTTACCAGTCACACCACAGACTGACCAATTATACCAGTGTCACCTTGTACAAGACGCAGCTTTTTGCCTGCTTTCTTCTGTGCAGGTTTGCATCAGGGCTGCAACTGTGTCAGCCTTGGTGACTAGCTCAGGCTCTTTTACAGTAGATGACAGAAAGCAAAGGAGAAGAGAGTGGAAATTTGAGAAAAGGAATAAAAGCAGAAGCTAAGTAAGTTCTCACTACCCTTTCTGATTAATCCACAGGGCTAAACTTTATGTGAACCCAGCAATGTCATCTGGGTTGTTTCCTGAGCTCTGTCTGCATGGCATCTGGATAGTCAAGGCCGCAGTGATCTGGTCAGCCAGGGGTATCAAACTTATTTTGTCGCCACCATCCATTGTCCTAGCATCAGTGTCAAAATAGAGACCCCAATGAGCAGTGATGGATGGAAAAGTTACAAAGAAATAAATAATTCTGTCCTGAAAGTAGGTTTTGAATAATATGCAGTAAATGAGTGAGGGGCCACATGCTGAGGAACCACAATAAATACTGAATACCTAAACAGCTATTAATGAGCATTGCCCATCTGGTGTACAGGCTGAGGCAGAGGTCTTATGAAAAATAATAGCATGTGGTCATGTAATTTAAAAAACATACCATAATATAGATGCACAAAGATCTCATATTAAAATTGCCTAGGCAACCCTTGTTCTTACATATCTTTAATTTTGAATACCATAGTTCTGCAAAATTATTTTATATTTCTGTAGGATTTTGGAAGCTGTCTCTACACGGTGATTTCATCTTTAGTGTTGCATTAGACTGTATAGCGACCAAAATGCTGGGAAAGGGGAGAGAGCTTCTGCTATAGTAACAAAATGTAGACTTTTTTTATTGAATTAATTCTTGCATTCAGTGATATCATACAGAAGGAGGCATATAAAAAAAGGATATAAAAAGTGGAAAATATGAAATAATTTTGGATGACTATAAAGAAATAGATCAAACATACAGGACAAAAGAAGAAAAGCTAAAGGCAAAGAAAAAAAAAGAGGTGCAGTGGGCAGATAGATAGACAAAAGATGATTATACGTGTAATACAATAAATACATATTGTTTAAAAAATCCTGTTGCTCTTTCTACACCTTGCTAATTATCCCTGATTCCAAATCTTGGTCCTTCTGATTTTCTCTCAGGGAAAACACCGGACTGCTTCTAATGAGGGAGGAGGGTAAATGTTGAGAGTCAATGTCTAGAAAGCTGAGTGTTTAATCGTTTTTATTCCTCATCACTTAAAGACTAGTTCTGGATCAAGAAGCTAATAAAGTGAGCAATGGGAACGGAAAGGATTCAGGCCAGAATACAAGAAATACTGGTAACAGAGGACTTAGATACACCATGTTTTCAGATAAAAATGGCCGAAGAAAATTAATGTTAGAATACTTAAAAAAATGCCAAAGCAATCTCATCATAATCAGTTGCATGGGAAAGAATGTAAAGTACAAGATGTCTAGAGAAGAGTACCCATAGTGACTGTGTTTGAAAAGTGCAAGGACTAACTAACTACTCAGGCAAGCGAGAGGGAAAAAAAAAAGATAGCAAAAAAAAAAAAAAAGAACAAATAATAAACTAATTTGCAAATATTTTAACTTTTGGCGGAATAAAGTAGAATATGAATGATACACACATTGCATTGCAATAGACTTATACTACGAACTTAAGAGATGCCCCCTGCTTAAAAATATTTCTTATGCTGTTTGCAGATTGCAGCCCCTCTGTCCCATTGATGGCCGATTTGGACCCCATGGCCAAGAGGAAATCCCTCTCCGAGCTCTGCAGTTCAAACGTGGTCTTCTCCATGAGTTTCGTAAAGGTAATGCCACAAAGGAGCAGATACGACTCCACAATCTGGTTCCGCAGCTTCCCAAGGCCATCCTCATTGGGGTGCGGAAAGGAGGTACCCGAGCACTGCTGGAGATGTTGAACCTTCACCCCGCAGTGGTCAAAGCTTCTCAAGAGATTCACTTCTTTGACAATGATGAGAACTATGCCAAGGGAATTGAGTGGTACCGGAAAAAAATGCCTTTTTCTTACCCTCATCAAATAACAATTGAGAAAAGCCCTGCATATTTTATCACTGAGGAAGTACCTGAAAGGATTTACAAAATGAACTCATCTATCAAATTATTGATCATTGTCAGGGAACCCACTACAAGAGCTATTTCTGATTACACTCAGGTGCTGGAAGGGAAGGAGAGAAAGAACAAAACTTACTACAAATTTGAGAAGCTGGCTATTGATCCTAATACCTGCGAAGTGAACACTAAGTATAAGGCAGTGAGAACCAGTATCTACACAAAACATCTGGAGAGATGGTTAAAATACTTCCCAATCGAGCAGTTTCATATTGTAGATGGAGATCGACTCATTACTGAACCACTGCCAGAACTCCAGCTGGTTGAGAAGTTCCTAAATCTTCCTCCAAGGATAAGTCAGTACAATTTATACTTCAATGCCACCAGAGGGTTTTATTGCTTGCGTTTTAACATTGTCTTTAACAAGTGCCTGGCGGGTAGCAAGGGACGCATTCATCCAGAGGTGGATACCTCTGTCATTACCAAATTGCGCAAGTTCTTTCATCCTTTTAATCAAAAATTTTACCAGATCACTGGGAGGACATTTAATTGGCCCTAAAATGAATTTCATACAACATATTCTGATGCACCTGAGACATGCAATAGTGTCTCTGTTAAAATATGCACTTTTCATAGACACAGCTATCAAAGTAACTTTTTTCATGCATACCTGTACATATGCAGTGTGTGACCAAATATACAGTGGGATCAATCTTTTCTACAGAGTAGTAATTAACATAAATTTACTGTCAGCATAGTTGCATCTTTTAAGATAAAATAATAAAGGAAAAGTGATATTTAGGGAAATTAATTCAGATGCTATTAAAAGGGTCAGTGTTCCTCTTGCTTAGTAAAGTGTTTATGTGACTTACTTATTGGTCTAAGCAGAACGCTATTTTATGCCATTAAAATTGACGTCAAAACTCTGTGAAGCTGTGGGAAAGCATAATATTCAGGCTGTACTTGGTATACATGTTCCTAAAGGAATACTGACACTTTGAACAGAGCGCTGAATTTTTACAATGACAGTGGATAGTACTATTTTCTTATTATTTGAAATGAGTATCTTATCTCATACAAGCAACATTTCAGAGTTCCTGTGGTGAGTTTGCACTATTGTTTTATTGTATGGACCATAGTGTCACTTGTAGCATGTCAATCACGTGTCAAAAAAAGGTCAAATAATTTCTTCTCCTATGCTTGTGTGTTGACAAAGAGCTACATCATGTACATAGTGTACAATGTTTGTAAATACCAGTTTCGCACTAAGTAATTCTATTTTGTAAACTGAATATGGCTATTTAATTTATTGTGAAAATTAAATTTATTGTGGTATTTAAAAATGGAATGGATTAAAATTACCTATATGTGCAACTGCTTTTCACCTTTGCTTAAGTGTATTCTGATGTGGTCCCTTAGTCCAGACAAACCATGTGCATGTGTGTGCGAAAGGTTGCAAACCTGGTTTATAGACAGTTGAGAAAACTGATGTATGAGGTGAAGCTGAGTTTATTAAAAAGCTCAGCCATCTGGAAACCTGATGTAATACACACCTCAAAGAACATTATTGCTGTTCTGTTACAGCACTTCGCAATAATTAACTCCATTGCAGTTGCCCAGGAGGCTAAAGAATGACTGTAAAAGATTACTGTAACCAGGTATATCAGAAAAGCAGAACAGACATTAAAACTAAAATGACAAACAGAAACAAGATTATAAGGAGAATTATTGAGATTACATCACTGGAAACTGGTGATGTTTGAGAAGTAAAGGAAAACTCTTCTGCTACGTCTGCTTTCATTTGGTAATGTATGCATCTGCTCAGAAACAAACCACCACAGAGTTGTTATTGCTGATATAAACATATAGTTCATGTTTCCATTCAGTAAGTGACAAGAAATTAGTTCAGGAAATGGACATTTTAATGTCTTATACATTGTACATCTTAAAGATTCATAAGAAAAATAATAGAAGTGACTGAAAAATGTCTTGAAAAGAAAAGAAAAAAGAAAAGGGAAGGGAAGGGAAGGGAAGGGAAGGGAAGGGAAGGGAAGGGAAGGGAAGGGAAGGGAAGGGAAGGGAGCATTTTAATGTATCTGAGAGGGATACAGATATGAAAGGTACCCTGGAAGGTTTGAATATTCTGAGCTATGGTGACAGAGTAGCTGGTAGCTCAGACTGTAATAAGATCAAGTTTTCCCTGTGGGCTGTTTATCTTGTTCAGTGATTTGGAAGTATCCATTTTCTAAATAAGTAATTTTTAAATCTCTTGTGAGAGATTGCTGCTTGTCTTACTGTATCTTTAATCATATGTGCTAGCATTGCAAGCGATGTGCCCTTCTTCATGCTAATTTGGAGACTTGCCAGCACAACATGGTAGAGCATATGTGAAATTTTTTGCAGCAGTTACTCATGTCTTTTCTGTATGATAGTCACTTACCCAGCTCATGTCCGAACACAAGACCGAGCCATTTATCTCACCTACTAGTATTCAAAGAGGAAGAGGATTATCCAATTTAAAATTTGCAAGGTCATTTGGTAAGCAGGCAGATTCTAGATGTCTTTGTATGATAGCTACTGGCTTGATTTAGTCATGTCTACAATCTGTGACTGAGGGCTGAGATATATTTGCAATGAAAGAGGTAAGTTAGGCCAAAGCTACCTCTAAGCATGAGATATGCACTTGAAACTAATATCTCCCCACCTTGTCCAAAAAAAAAATCACTGGCACTGTGAACTAAAAGACACTGAGTACTCACATTCTCATTGAGGTCTGTTGGCTTTAACTCAAGTTTCCCATTTGCAAATTTGGAGACACCTGACTAAATTTAAGAGATTCCTTAGATAAATCTAGTTCAAAAAATGCACAAAGGAATGGTAAGGAGTAGAAGGGGAGTAAAGTGGGACTGAAGTCACTGCAATATATTAAGAGGTTTATAGAAGCAGGATGTTGATTCACTATCACTGAAACTTCAGCACAACGTCCTTGAGTCTTTTTGAGATTAGCTAGCAAAGAGAAAATACAAAAACTGATTCTTAATGCGCAGACCAAACAAATCACCCAAAACACACTCTTAGGATAATGGGGATTGTGCTGCAGTATTCATAATTGTTTGGAGAAGCTCTGACCCTATGGTATTTACCTCTTCAAGACCAATTTGTGAAGAATTAATTTTCTCCACTTTGCTTTGCTTCCAAGATATGGGTGAATCATTTCTATTCAAATTGATCTTGAGTGTTCAGACTGGCATTAGTGCTCTTAGCTTGGGTTTATGATTGCAACATGATGCACAGTTATATGAAGTTGCAGCTGTTAACTATGGCATTCAAGTTCTCTAATGGCATTGTATCATTCATATTTTCTGTATGCAAAAATTGCAGGCTTCAGAGCTCTGGTAAATGTTTGGATTAAATCTTCTAATATTGCTGTGCATTTTTATCAGATTGTCCCAGCTGCTATTTAAACTCAATAGGACAACAATTTGTACCATAAAAGAATATGAAAGCTGAATTCAAAATTGTATTTTCAGAAATCAGCATATAGATAGCTAAAAGCTGCCATTTGGAGATTACTGATTGACTTACCTTCAATGCCTTCTACTGCCTTTTCTTTAGGAAATCAGAGTGAGTATAATGAAAAGATATATTTGCCGTTATTCAAACACTTTGTTTTTCACCACAATATCTAAGAATTCAAGAGACAATTTTTTTTTTGTAGCAATATATTTCATTATACTATCTCAAGATCTCCCTCTGCCAGCAACATTCTTGTTGAACACTGCACATCGGCTCAGTGTCACACACACCACAGAGAAGGCTAAACCAACCACGAGCTGGTCTAAGCAGTGTTCAGACTCGAGCTATGGAAGCATTGCTGTTCATGTGCTTATTGTCTGGCTAGTTGACTTAGTTCATTTGGAGAACCCATGGGAGTGTTGGCAGTCCTCTGACTGGAGAAGATATGGATATAGCTCTGAAAAACTTTTCTTTTTCTCATCCTGGATACCCTCAGCAGTGATGTAGATTGGCAGGGGGTATAATAATACAGATTCCATGGCAGGTAAACTTTCCAGAAAAGACAATTTAATGATTTTTTATCCAAAAAGCTCACTGTGAGAAATGTCTTCTGCATGCCATCCTCTGCAGCAAGGCCCTGAGGAATAGTCACCACTAAATGCACATAAACTTGGGCAATATAGCCATGAAAATCTGTTTCATTGATGCATATTATTTGCAGTACTACATTACATTAACATTTGCCTTTTTTGGACATATGCCTTAGCGATATATCCAAAATGTGTGAGCTGATAAGTGAATGCAAAAGATCCATAACTGAGCAGGTGGGTTAAAGGTTTAACTTACTTACATTAACTTTGCAGTCCTTCTGACTTGAGTTATACGTAAGACGAAAGCAGAGATTATGATCTGAAGAAAACAAAAAAGTTAGTTAACCCACAAAATCATGCCAGTAAAATTTCAGAGGGACTTTCTTCCCCCTTTCTCCATATACCTTGAGATATTAGTAAATCTTGTTGAAATCATGGCTTAGCAAGTTAGATCACCTTCTGAATAATCAAATTTTAGCAATAATAAGAAAATAAAATTCTTCTAAAATATTGGGAACTGGTCAACGATTTTGAAACAAAGTTTTGAAACACCTCAAGCTTTACTGCATAAATGTGCATGTACCCATTCAAGCTGCTAAACTCAGAAAATTCATGACTTACAGGCTTTTCTGAATTCCACAACTCTCTTCCAAGACATTATCAGTTTGATAGAATAAATTCATTGTTAAACTAAGTTTATTCCTGTATCTAAATCTCATAGTGAAGTCACTGAATCCAGCTACTTTGCAGATATGATTTCACAAATGCAAATGATTTATCTCCTATGCAGCAGGGCTGAATGCTCTGCAAAGGGCATTTGCTTGAGGTTTAACTGATATAACTCACTGAAGTTTTATCAGCACTGGAGACTGCTCTAGCAGTAATATATTACTTAGATTAATGTTCTGCTTCCTTGGAGAAGGTCAAAGACAAACCCATCACTGGAAAAGATTTTTAATACTCACTCAAAGAAGGTCAAGGCCCAGCTTCTTCTATAGCAGTTAATGTTGGAGCAGTGATTATCCAGAACCATCATTTGTTAATGACAGTTTTACAAATAACTGCTGTTGCCTTTTTTGGTGTGAGTCATTAGCAAGTTCACAAATTACTCTTCTTCACCAAAAACAAACAAACAAACAAAAACAACAGAATTTGTTAAAATCAGATACACAGTTGTTTTGCTTGTAAAAAATAGATTGGAAGCTGGGTGTTTAAGTGCCTTAAATTCCCATGGCATTTTAAGTCAATCCATGAATGACAGAGGTAGGCTCTAATGCCTGTCAAGGTCCCGACCTTCCTGAAAAATGTCCTCTTTCCTCTTCTCTTATGCTTACCTGGTCCTTCCACACCCAACTGTTTCAGTTCACTAAGCAAGAAAATAACTAACCTAAACTGAAAAAGTGAGTAACATTAGAAAGGCTACACTCACTCAGAGAAAAGTTATCTTCAAAATAGGATCTGTCACAAGCAATAGCGCAATGTATAAAGACAGAAAGTATGAACACATTTCTGAGTTCCAACAGTTTGTAATCATGAGACTTCTTCAATGAGAATGTGCAGTCTTCATATTTAGTAGCATTAAGTGACTTTCTCTTCCATGCACTTGTCCAGAAATACCTTTAGGCCCTTGCCAAGGTGTTTCAGAGCAACAATCTAATTCCTTACAACTTATGAATTTGCAATAAGAGATGTGTAAAATGAATTAGATAAGTTTGGGTAGTACCTTTTTAAATCCAATGATAAATATAATGATATGATAATGGAAGTTTTATTTTCCCATTTACCTCATTTAGCAAATATTATGGCATGCTTTATGAGTTTCTTCAAAAACAATTGCCAGAAGCCTTTAATCTTACTGGTGACCCCTGAGAGAACTCGGTCCTAGATTTGTAAAAGATTGCAGGAATAGAATAAACATTTATAAATTTGACTTTTTGAATTGCTTATTTGCTGATAAAAGAATTCTATCTGAACAATTTTAAAAGATTTTTCACTTGTAAACAAGGCTTCACATACTACAAGGCTTCAAATACTAAAAATGTAAATGTGTCTAAATTGGGGCCTTCAAAGAGTGTTTTACTGCTGTAAGTGCTGCACCTGACTGTAATTGTGCTGTACCTTGTTAAACATTTGTTTTTGTACTTGTCATCTCCAAAGAGACTCACTGGCTGCTGGCCTACAGTGTTGTTAGTCTTCTGTCATTTAAAAAAAAATAATTTACAGCGGAGAAAAAAAAAAAAAAAGACTTCCAAACACTAGTAGCATAGA